AACAAAAAAACGAAGTCCAGATGACATGATTCAACCTTTTTTGTTGTTATATACCTGGATGACTGAGAAAACAAACTTTGTGCATCTCTCCAGTTGTAACATTTAGCTGTTGAAAAAACAGATTTAATAATTAGAATTTTTCAATTTTGACTTAATTGAACATGCTTTTATCTCTGTACCGTCCTCTGCTGCATATTATTTATTAAAGTTATTGTTTCCTCACACTGGACACAAAGATAAAGTGCTAATAGTACAATAAAAACTGGAAGACTTTTGGAGAACGTGCGCTACCACTGGAGCTACTTTCTTTCACAGCACATGAAAAGATACAAAAAATACACGAGTTCTGTATCCAAATGAAGTTTAGTCACATTGCACTGAGCTTTGGTCACCATAAGGACTACAGATGCTCACTAAGCCAACGATTATACAAGAAAACATCCTAAAGAGGTAATAAATAAATAATTAAATGCACTAAACCTTTAATGTGAGTTAGTGTCGGCCTTTTGCTCATGACCAGAGTTGAGTCATTGAAGCCACATGTAGTGTATATAAGGAGAATTCACCCTTTTGGATGTTTGATGCTTTTATTGCTGTCACAAGTCAATCATGGTCAATTTAAATAGGCCTTTCTAATTATAATAATAGTAATAATAAAAACAAATGATATAAAAATATAACAGGTAAAAAAGTGATTGTGACATCATTCACCCCTCAAAGTCATTGTTGAAGAATCCTCGTAATAAATGTTGACTAGAGTTTGTCAGACATTAATCAAAATTTAACATGTTTTATTTCACATTATGAGTTTTCTTTAGCTGATCTGGTAGTTCTACACGTCTTGCTTACATTTCTACATGATGGATGTTACAGAACTCCAGGGGACGTTTAGGGTCTTGGAAGTCTTTTTGGATCCATCCCTTGTTCTTTTTAATAACTTTTTCTCTGTGTTGAATTGGTACAGTCACTTTAAAGGGTATGAAGATTCATGGAGCCCCTTTTGTACATTACATAATTTTATTCTGTAGAAAATGTATTTCCTTTTATCTTTTAAGTAATATTTTTTGTAAAGAAGGACAATTTATAGACCATGACGTAGTTATGACAGCAATAAAAGTATAACATACTGGGGGAGGGGGTGAATGTCTTTTAAACAATAGCTCACCAGTACTCAGAAACTAAAAACCAGTTATCTACAACAGGTAAGATCCTGATTATTCATAAACATTTCACAAAGCACTACCTTAGAATGCATAAAATATTATTCAACAACAGGCTGAGTAAAGTTCTGTTCTATCTCATGTATCAGGCTCAAAGGGACATCCTGAACGACTCAAGGCCTTTGTTGACAACAAAAAGTGATTTTATTCTTTTATTTGCCTCTTATGGTTTCAGTTAACGGGCAGCACGGTGGCGCAACTGGTAGAGCTGCTGCCTCTCAGTGAGCAGGTCCCTGGTTCAAACCCCGGTCCAGGGGCCTTTCTGGGTGGAGTTTGCATGTTCTCTCCGTGCATGCGTGGGTTTTCTCCGGGTACTCCAGTTTCCTCCCACAGACCAAAAACATGCATGTTAGGCTGATTGGTAACTCTAAATTGTCCCTAGGTGTGAGTGAGAGAGTGAATGATTGTTTGTCTCATGTGTCCCTGTGATGGACTTGCGACCCGTCCAGGGTGTCCCCCGCCCCTCGCACAGTGATTGCTGGACATGGGCACCGGCGACCCCCGTGACCCAAAAATGGAATAAGCGGGTAAAGAAAATGGATGGATGGATGGGTTTCAGTTAGCATCACAGTGGGAGTGATGGAGTGAAACCTGATCTGTGTTTCCTTGTGATTTCCCTCATTGCTCTGGATTACTGTTTACCAGCAACATCTTTGAATCAATAAATGTCCAGACATCCTCCAGTCCTCTCTTCCTCCTCATCACTTGTGTGTAAATTCGGGTCAAAATAAATCCAGGATGTAAAACTTCATGCTAATAATGGTATAACTTTACAGCATTTAAGCAAAGTGAACACAGCAGCAGTTGACTCTGAATATCTTTGAAGCTTGTACCAGATCTCTTTTCAATTTATGTTGGCCTTTTGGCATCATTTTATATTTTACCTCTTGGCATAGAAAAACTCATAATCTACAGTTCTAATTGACTTACAGCAAATGTTGTTGACCAAAACATCACAGTCTCTTCTGGGGAGGCTAAACATCAGGAGGAAACAGCTTCCTGAGTTAAGTTTTCTCACGCAGAACATGTTGCCTTCCTCTGTCAGCTCACACAGCAACCAACATGTTTCACTTGTCACCAGAACTCCTGCTTTAATTGATACACGATCACATTGATGAGTCTTTATTAATAACCACCCAGCAGGATGTGAAGTCTATGTCAGACTCCAGTGTGTAGACTGACTGCCCTCACTGAAGTAACTCTAATTAGAAAACCCAATAATGAAAAATACAACGTTTACAGCATCTGGAGGCCTTAGAGGCCTTCTCTTTTCAGTTATTCACTGAAACATGATTTATTTCAGTAACTCCATTCAAAAAGTGAAACTTGTATATTATATTCATTCATTACACACAGACTGATATATTTCAAATATTTATTTATTTTAATGTCAATGATTATAACTGACAACTAATGAAAACTCCCAATTCAGTATCTCAGAAAATTAGAATATCGTGAAAAGGTTCAATATTAAAAACACCTGATGCAACACTCGAGTCAACTAATGTACTCAAAACAGCTGCAAAGGCCTTTAAATGGTCTCAGTCTAGTTCTGTAGGTTACACAATCATGGGGAAGACTGCTGACTTGACAGCTATCCAAAAGACGACCAATGACACCTTGCACAATGACGGCAATGCATCAAAAGGTCATTTTTAAAGAGGCTGGCTGTTCACAGAGCTCTGTGTCCAAGCACATTAATAGAGAGGCGAATGGAAGGAAACAATGTGGTAGGAAAAAAGTGTACAAGCAATATGGATAACCACAAAACTTAACAAAACCTATTCCAAAATGTGGGGGAGATTCACAAAGAGTGGACTGCAGCTGGAGTCAGTGCTTCAAGAACCACCACGCACAGACATATGCAAGACATGGGTTTCAGCTGTCGCATTCCCTGTGTCAAGCCACTCTTGAACAATAGACAGCGTCATATGCGTCTTGCTTGCTTGGACTAAAGACAACAAGGACTGGACTGCTGCTGAGTGGTCCAAAGTTATGTTCTCTGATTAAAGTAAAATTTGCATTTCCTTTGGATATCAAGGTCCCAGAGTCTGGAGGAAGAGAGGAGAGACACAGAATCCATGTTGCTTGAGGTCCAGTGTCAAGTTTCCACAGTCAGTGATGGTTTGGGGTGCCATGTCATCTGCTGGTGTTGGTCCACTGTGTTTTCTGAGGTCCAAAGTCAACGCAGCCGTCTACCAGCAAGTTTTAGAGACTTCATGCTTCCTGCTGCTGACCAACTTTATGGAGATGCAGATTTCATTTTCCAGCAGGACTTGGCACCTGCACACAGTGACAAAGTTACTTGTACCTAGTCTAAG